TCTGTTGAAAAGTGCTATCACAAAGGTTATTCCCAAAAATCTATAAATTCCACTGAGGACGAAATGTAGGGGAAATTTTGACCTCCAAGTATCTACGACTGAGATTAAAATTCCGAAAAAACTTGACTCAAACTACCCGAAACTTTTATTGAGTGAAATATCGAAAGAATTTTGACTCCCAATGATTCTGGCTCTCAAAATGAGTGAAATTTCGTGAAAATTTTAATTCTCACAAGCCATTTAACTTACAAAGCGCTAGCATCGGTTCATTACAGCGAGTACCATATTTTGTGATCAGAAATGAGGCAACATTTGAGAAAGCCATAATTGCTTTTCTTGATTTATGATCCCACAAAGCGCAGCATGCCGTATGATGAACATGCCTGCCACCGACATACAGGAGAAACGCTGCCCTGCAAAAATTGCCAATTACAAAGAAATCAAAATAAAACCGGGTTATAAACTTCAAATAACTATCGTAAAATGTCAAAAACCCCCCCTCACACTCATTTTCTACGATGGGCGGGGCATTCAAAAGCAGCTGAGTGATAGCAAATGCTAACAACAACCATAGACTAACAAGACCTGTCCACTGCCTTTTCCTCAGAGGGTTGCTTACAAGCAAGCTGATGGCTATTTCGACATCCTGGCTCATGCCTGAGAATTAGAACAGCATGTGCCAGTATCAATTTTGTAAAGAGGGCAAAGGATGGTGCGCAGGAAAAGCAAAGAGCAATCCAGAATCGAATCGCAGATCAACCTCTCTGTCCCCTCTGATCTGTTCCGCCCTTGGTGATAAGTATATAAGCTTGCGATTTTGTTGTAAAGTTCAGTGTTGAGTGTTGTAATTCAAGAGTTCTGCAACGTGTTCTCCAAAGGCAGTGGAAGCAATGCATTTTCTCCTTAGCCCAATCGACCCAAATTTCGACTGTGTTTTTTGTTTTGTGTTGATATAGTTTGTTTGGTTATCCCGGCGTCTCCACCAAGCACAGTTCGCAAAATCATCATCGTCCGAACAGTCTCGTCCGTCTTATCGCTCAAACTTCGCCGTCATTCATTCTAACATCGTCGTAACCATTTGCCATCAAAAATTGAGGGATATTTAGAGGGATCGGTGGCCCCACTGATGAAACCATGCACGTCCATCGACAAGAAAACAGTCCTACTCGCTGTTTCCAGTATAAATAATATAAATATTGAAAAAACGAGCCTTGAGAAAGATGTAAGAGCGGCAAAAGGCGCATGCGATGCACATTTGTATATATCGGAAGCAACTCGCTGAGCCCAATTC